ATATATGAAAAGAAATATTCAAAATAAAATTAATAAGGCTGATTCCAGTGCTTGTACTTTTGAGATAGTTGAGTCAGTTCTGGACAGTTTCCGTGAGCCATTTAATACATTGTCTACTGAAAATCGTCGCTTTAAAGCTTTTCAAGAATCTGGGTATTTTGTGCCTGTACAGAGCTACATAATTGGTGATAGGCTGGACGATGTTGTACAAAAGGGAATTATGATAAAACAAATTGTTCCAGTAAAAGCTCAATTTTTGCCAATGAGACATGTTTTACAAAAGATATTTAGCTTACCTGGTGTTTTTTCACAAGTTCAAAGCTATGTGCAAAAGCTCGAACGTGACGATGAGATCATCGAAAATTTTATACAGGGCAAACTTTGGAAGGAAAAGGTCCAAAATTATTTTCAGGGGAAAACTGTTTTTCCTCTGTTTTTTTATTTTGATGATTTTGAAGTATGCAACCCGTTAGGTTCCCATATTGGGGTACATAAACTAGGAGCTGTTTACTATCAGGTTGCATGTTTTCCACCCGAAATTAACTCTCTCCTAGAAAATATTTTTCTTTGTGCCCTCTTTCATTCAAATGATAGGACAGAATTCAGAAATAGTAGAGTTTTTCACAAAGTTATTGATGAACTAAATTTTTTACAGACACAGGGCATTGACATAGATACAGGACAAAGCACTGAACGCGTTTACTTTGCTCTTGGTTTGGTACTAGGAGATAATCTCGGCTTAAACTCTATCCTGGGATTTGTAGAATCTTTCGGGGCTAACTATTATTGCTGGCTTTGTACATTGTCTCGTAATGACATACAGTCTACTTTCACCGAAAGGAATATGCGCTTTGAAACATATAATGCTGACGTAGAGCTGTCAAACTACCAATTAACTGGAATCAAAGAAAAATCGGTATGGAACGATGTTTTTCATTTTAAAAGTGAAGAAAATTTTGTTGTCGATCTTCTTCATGATGGTCCAGAGGGATATTTTGGATATGTCATGACTTTAATCGTTCGCTATTTTGTAAAAGATTTACTACCTAAAGAAGATCGTTTACAACTTCAGTTACTAAATGCACGTCTGAACTCATTTGATTATTCCAACAATGAACTTTCAAACAAAGTTCCAATCATTACTGAGCATGAACTAGAAGGGGTAAAGCTTAAAATGTCTGGAAGTGAGATGATGAATTTTGTTTATATATTCAGTATGTTAGTAGGTGACCTAGCACCACATGAAGATCCTGCATGGGAATTTTACCTTAGTATGAGACAAATAGTGGACATAGTTATGTGTTTTGAAATAGATAAACCTAGTATCAATCTTCTGAAAACACTTATTGCTGAAAATCTTTCTATGTTCAAGAAGGTTTTCCCAAATGAGCGTATTAAGCCTAAGGCACATAATTTTATACATTATTCTAATGTCCTGGAACAGTCTGGTCCAATTGTTAAACTTTCTTCAATACGGTTTGAAGCCAAACACAAAAGTAAGAAAACGGAAGCTAATGCAAGCAGTAGCCGGAGAAATATAACTCAAACACTTTGTATCAAAGAACAGTTAGTGCTTTGTTATCGTTTAATGTCAAGAAAAGGCCTTCTCGCCAACGACAAGTATGGAATAGAGGAGTTCCTTCATCATATATCACTATGTACTAATTTTCAGTTATTTAAGCGTTTTGTGCCCCCTCAATTCTGTGGCCCATGTACACAGTTATCATGGGCAAAGGTGAAGGGAGTTGTCTACAAACCCCGTTTGTGTATATTAATTAAGTTTGAAGGAAAAGATGAACTTCTACCAGTATTTGGCTCTATTGTTAATATTTTACAAAATGAGGGAGGAAAAATAGGTATTGTATGCAAACTGTTAATAACATATGGCTTTGATGTCAATTTACATGCCTATGATGTATCTTGGAGTGAACAATTTACGTTCGTAAGCATAGATAAATTGATCTCTCCTTTCCCTGTGATTCTTACTCAGATGGGAAGTGGGTCACTTTTTGCGACTGTGAAGCACAAAATTTAACTTAAAACTTACAATTTTTCATTCAGTAGTACGTCTTAGAATGTCTCTCAGGTTTTGTAAAAAATTTATTATTCTTTTTACAATGGATAGAAAGTTAGTGATTTTAAATTCTCAAAGAATGTTATATTGTT